GTATAACTCGGTACATATACATAACTATTTAATATACACATACACATACAATACATACACAGTAACATACACACATTCACACACTACAATACCTACACATAACATACACATAAACATACACGATACACAATTAAATGACACTACAAATACACATTAACATAAACATACACATACACATACACAAGTTACACATAAACAATCACATAGCATACATATTACACTATACATTATACATGCTACATTATAACAAATTATACAATTAATATACATATACAATATAATATACTATAATATTACAATAACAATATACAATATACAGGTATACATAAGCGATACACTAACACAGATATTAATATAACACTAATACATATTACACTACTACAATAATACACTTACATTACAGCTATACAATAGTAACAAGTACACTCTACACTAGTACATATACATATACATATACATATACATATACATATACATATACATATACATATACATATACATATACATATACATATACATATACATACACATATACATTGATTGTATATATGTATTGATACATATATAACAATGAAATATAACAATGTACGTATATCTTTTTTTTAACATGTCTGAATATAAAATAAATTTGCGTGTAAATATGTACGTGTGTGCATGTATGAGTGTGTAAATTATTGTGTGTGCCCAAGTATGTGCGTACGCACGACACGATCTGAGGAGAGAAGAGAAAAGGAGAGCAGAGGAGAGAAAACAATAAAATAGATGATGAGCGAAGGAAAGAGGAGCGGAGAAGAGGAGATGTGATGAGAGAAGAGCAAGAAAGAGGAGAGGAGAGCAGGAGAGAAGTGGAGAGGTGAGGAGAAAAGATGAGAGGATAAGGGAGAAGAGGCTAGCGGTCTGTATAAATACAAATATCGTTGAAGATGCGTTTAAGCGAGACCCCTGCGTCTTTTCAAGACATGCGAAACGCTGGGAGTAAACGCCGCTCGTAACATGCATCTGCATAAATCAGTCCTTTTCTGATTTCTCGTCCCCTTTTAATTTCGTAAACGTTTAATCGTTTTTCTGCGCTTCATTTACAACCGCTTAACGTCCGGGTCTGCCGAACGAATGTCCGTCTACTCTCTGAAATCGTCGAACAACTACTGCGTCATTCGCCGTCAATTTATTATTAATCTTTTTGTGCATTGGCATTTCCACGGTTTATTTTAGAAGACGTCACAGAAGCGACAGCGCGGCGCCACGGCTCTGTTATTATCGTAGGAGACGTAGAGTGGAAACACACCCCTTAAGGCTAATGTTAGTTTATTATTAGTTTCTTATCTGCGATATTAGACAAGCAGGGGCTAAATTTGCCGGCGTCTTCCTCGATTCCTATTTATCTCGGCATGTCGTTGACGATATCTTTCTAATCAGAATTGCTCGGTCTTAAGCGCCTAACCGCTTATTTTCGTAATTGTTGTCGCACCACCTCAATTATCCGCCGGTCGGTTCGTCTGTAATTCTCTTGTTTTGCTATTTATGTATGTAGCAACATGAATCAACGTGTAAGCACCGATGAATTGATATTTGCAAATTAAAGTCGTTGGCGCGCATAGATGCAGACGGCATGCGTTCATGTCACGTGGGTGTATGCGGCGCCGAAAAAATCCATGCAGCAAACGACGCATTATAAATCCTGATTATAAAGATACAAACCGCTTACTTAATTACACGCAAAATCTATAATTTACACTTTTCTCGGACGTCGCAGCGCATAAACGTACATAGATAGAGAAGTAAAATGTTAATTGCGTTAAATATTTATTTGTTAAATTGTGGTTGAGATATACGAGATTTAATTCGATTCTGACTTCGCTTCCTCGTGGCGTGCTGCCAGACAAGCAGCGCGCTATGCAATGAATACAAAATCAAAAATACGATTAACTAGTGCTGATATCGAATTCATCATGGACCGAATCCATCCCTAAATAAGACAGCCAGCGTTTAAAGCTGTAGTCTACGTCGAATGAATATGACAAAGAGACCGAATTTCTGTCGTCAAACACAGATTAGAGTACGTTTCGTACGCATGAGTTTTATAAATTACCAGCAGCGAGGGCGAACAAACTTGGCTAATTGGGCTAATAGGCGAGGTCGTGTTGGCGACGGTTGTGTAAGAGAGGATGGCCCCTGCGTGCGGATGATGATGAGAACCGCCGGTATACACGCCGACTGGCACACCGAGTAAGCATCCGGTGAGCACGAAACTCTACACCCCACATTTTGATCACCCGGACTAACCACGGTGCGCGTACGCGCGCGCGTGTGTGCGTGACTGCTTGCGCGTGCGTGTACGTGCGTCCGTGCGTGCCTGCTTGCGCGTGTGTATGTCGTTTCTTGGGTTAATGGTGTGCGTGCGTGAGTATATACGTGTGTCGTTATGCGGATTTCATAGCGCTGCTGTGTTCGACGCATGGATGATGCCTGCCTGTGCGCTGGGATGTAGCGCAGCGCGGCGACACGCTCTGTACCCGAGAGCTCGTTCGATTCTCCACCGTACGAGTGGTGGGACTTGCACGGTTTATGATCGCGCTTCGTGATAGCTTAGACTATGCACATCGATTTGACGTGTATCGAAACCTTGGCGCTGCCTTCACTCTTGATACCTTAATGCCGACGCAGAGATTTTGACAATAATGAGAAGAGTCATGATGATGAATACTATGAAATTAATAATTTTAATAATGATAATAATAATAATATTAATAAGAGAACGCCTTGTTGTACCATCGGGTATTATATCGCGATTCCTGTTATATGGTTCTATTATAAGCAACAATTGTTGGAGGCTTTTGATATGCCTGCATTTCTACTATATTTTTATTACATTGAAAATGACCATGAACTCTTTATTACAGTCAACCCTACTGAAGCAAGATAAACAATATTACAGACTCAATAACGTCCAAAACACGTACCATCATTATCACATCCATCCTCTATTTTATACGTTGAGTATATATATATATATATATATATATATATATATATATATATATGAGGGGGCATATATTTATCAGTGGACGATAAATACATATTACAATAAAAAATATAAGAAATCGTAAATGTAAGCAATTAGTTTTGCATAGCTATAGCGTACACACTAATGATAAAATCCGCATTCAGCTCGAACGCTGCTATCGTAGATTAATGACGAACTATGCATTTTAAAATTACCAATTTAAATAGAACTAATTATGACAATTGTTAGCCATTTAATCGAAAGTTTTGGCCTGCTATGTATTTGGAGCGCTGCATTTAAACGTTTTAAGTAAATACATTTTATGCGCAATGAAAATGGCATACTAAAAATAGTTGGAATGAATTTGAATTGGAGACGTAGTCTAAGCGATGGAATGTGCAACCGTTAATTGCGCAAAAATTATGTATTGTGTAAAAGCTTATACACCAGTGCTCTAAACATTTTGCCCCACTCGAACAACCCTAGCTGGCTAGTAGGCAGTTTACTTTAGGTGGCAGCACTGTTCAGCGATATGCTAAAGGAGCCTAGCAATACATTTAACTGTGCGAGCAAGGTTCAATACCCTTTCCAGGTTCAAGGTTCAATACCCTTTACACTAAGTAAGGCTGATAGGGTCTATGTCTCCCTGGGTACTACCGGAACGTATCCTGGTAACTATCTGATATGGTTAGGGTTAGGGTTAGGGTTAGGGTTAGGTTTAAGGTTAGGGAGTAGACGTAGGCAAGGTACGGTCCGGCATATTAGATAGTACCAGGGTACGTTCCAGCAGTACCCTGGGGGGAGGGGGTTAGTGTAAAGGTAGGGGCACAAATCCAGGGGGGTACAGGGGACATGTCCCCCTCACGAATTTTCAGAGGGGGACATCATAGTAAATGTTCCCCCCCACGATTTTGGATCACCATGATTTTGTGTGTAAGTGTGTGTGTGTGTGTGTGTGTGTGTGTGTGTGTGTGTGTGTGTGTGTGTGTGTGTGTGTGTGTGTGTGTGTGTG